TTGTTTTTTCTTTTTTGTTGCCTTTTAAAAATTTTTTTACCAGTGTGTAGTATTCTATGGTGTACGTAACTCATAATTTCTTCATGCAGTCTTTGGCTGATGGGCATTTGGATTGATTCCAAATCTTAGCAATTGTGAATTGAGCTGCAATAAACATGGGGGTACAGATAACGCCTTCACATTGCTGATTTCATTTCCCTTGGGTAAATTCTCAGCAGTGGGATCAAGCTGGGTAATATGATAGGTCTATATTCAGACCTCCGAGGTATCTCCATACTGTCTTCCATAGTGGCTTTACCACCAACAGTGGATTAGGGTACCTTTTCACCTTCATCTTGCCAGCATTTGTTGTTTGTTGATTTCTGTATGAAAGCCATTCTAATGCGTGGGAGGTGAAATCTCATTGTGATTTTGATTTGCATTTCCCTGATGGCTAATGATCCTGAGCATTGTTTTCAAATGTGTTGGCCATTTGGATTTCCTCTTTTGAAAAATGTCTTTGTAAGTCCTTTGCCCATTTCTCCACTGGGTTGTTTGTTTTATTATTGTTGAGTTTCTTAATATCTTTATATATTCTGGTTATTAATACTTTATCAGTTTCATAGTTTGCAAATTTCTCTATTCTTTCAGTTGCCTCTTCACTTTCCTGTGTGTTTCTTTTGCAGTGAAGAAGCTTCTTAGCTCTATGTAATCCCATTTGTCAATTTTAGCTTTGATTGCTTGTGCCTCTGTGGTGTTTTCCAAGAAGTCTTTGCCTATGCCAATGTCTTGTAGGATTTCCCCAATGTTCTCTAATAATTTGATGTTACTGCAGCATCAGTTTAGGTCTTTAATCCACTTTGAGTGGGTTTTTGTATAAGGTCTAAGTAAGGTAGGGGTCTTGCTTCATACTTCTGCATGTGGAAGTTTATTTTTCCAAACACCATTTGTTGAAGAGATTGTCCTTGCTCCAGGGATTGATATCAGCTCCTTTGTCAAATATAAGTTGGTCGTAGATGCTTGGATTGATTTCTGGCATTTCTGTTCTGTTCCATTGGTCTATCCATCTGTTTTTCTACCAGTACCAGGCTCTTTTGGTTATAACTGCCCTATAGTATGTCTTGAAATTTGGTATTGTGATGCCTCTGGCTTTGTTTTTTGTTGTATAAGATTGCTTTAGCTATTCAAGGTCTCCTGTGTTTCCATATGAATTTCAGCATCATTTTTCTACATCTGAGAATGCCCTTGATAATCTGATTGGGATTGCATTGAATCTGTAAATTGCTTTTAGAATTATGGATATTTTGATGATACTAATTCTTCCAATCCATGAACATGGAAGATTTTTCTATTTTTTTGTATCTTCTTCTATTTCTTTCTTTAATGTTTTGTAATTCTCATTGTAGAGACTTTTTGACATCCTTGGTTAAATTTATTCCAAAGTCTTTTTTTTTTTTTTTTAATTTGACAGGTAGAGTTATAGACAGTGAGAGAGAGAGAGAGACAGAGAGAAAGGTCTTCCTTTCATTGGTTCACTCCTGAAATGGCCGCTATAGCCAGTGCTGTGCCAATCCAAAGCCAGGAGCCAGGTGCTTCCTCCTGGTCTCCTATGTGTGAGCAGGGGCCCAAGCACTTGGGCCATCCTCCACTGCCTTCCCAGGCCACAGCAGAGAGCTGGACTGGAAGAGGAGCAACTGGGACTAGAACCCGGAGCCCATATGGGATGTCGGCACCACAGGCAGAGGTTAATCCTCATGTGAGCCACGGTGCCGGCCCCAGTCTGATTTTTTTTGTAGCTATTGTGAATGGAATTGATCTTAGAAGTTCTTTCTCAGCCATGGCATTGTCAGTGTATGCAAAGGCTGTAGATTTTTGTGTACTTATTTTATATCCTGAGACTTTATCAAACTCTTTTATGAGTTCCAATAGTCTCTGCCTGCACTCCTGCCCTTCCTCCTCCCTCTCCTATTCCCATTCTTATTTTTTACAAAGATTTATTTTCAATTAGCCTTATAAGATTGACCTTACACTAAGTAAAGAGCTCAATAAATGGGAAAAAAACCTGTTCCTCATCAGTCATCAGTTGAGAAAAGGGCTGTTCAAAATCATCACAACTCAAAGTGTCAATTTCTCATCTATGGATTAATTTTTTGGTACTCTATTAGTTACTACAGATCAGGGAGAACATATGGTATTTGTCTTTTTGGGACAGGCTTATTTCACTAAGTATAATTGTTTCCAGTTGCATCTATTTTGTTGCAAGCAACAGGATTTCTGGTTTTTCTATTTTTTTTTACTGCTGTGTAGTATTCCATGGTGTACATATACTATAATTTATTTGTCCAGTCTTCAGTTAATGGATATCTAGGATCATTCTATATCTTAACTATTGTGAATTGAGATGCAATAACATCTGGATATAGATAACTCTTTCATATGATGATTTCATTTCCTTTGGGTAAATTCCCAGAATGGAATGGCTGGATCATATAGTAGGTCTATATTCAGATTTCCGAAGTATCTCCATACTATCTTCAAAAGTAGACTGGGGTACCTTTTCCCCCACATCCTTGCCAGCATTTGTTGTTTGTTGATTTCTATATGAGAGTCATTCTAACTGGGGTGAGATGAAATCTCATTGTGGTTTTGAGTTGTATTTCCCTGATGGCTAGTGATCCTGAGCATTTTTTCATGTGGCTATTTGAATTTCCTCTTTTGAAAAAATGCCTGTTCTAGTCTTTTGCCTATTTTTTTTTTTTTGACAGGCAGAGTGGACAGTGAGAGAGAGAGACAGAGAGAAAGGTCTTCCTTTGCTGTTGGTTCACCCTCCAATGGCTGCCGTGGCCAGCGCGCTGCGGCCGGCGCACCGCACTGATCCGATGGCAGGAGCCAGGTACTTATCCTGGTCTCCCATGGGGTGCAGGGCCCAAGCACTTGGGCCATCCTCCACTGCACTCCCTGACCACAGCAGAGAGCTGGCCTGGAAGAGGGGCGACCGGGACAGAATCCGGCGCCCCGACCGGGACTAGAACCCGGTGTGCTGGCACCTCAAGGCGGAGGATTAGCCTAGTGAGCCACGGCGCCGGCCCCTTTGCCTATTTTTAACTGGATTATTTGTTTTGTTGTTGTTGAGTTTCTTGAGCTCTTTATAAAGTCTGGATATTAATCCTTTGTCAGTTGCATAGATTACAAATATTTTCTTTGCTGAATGTTTCTTTTGCAGTGCAGAACTTTCTCAACTCAATGTAATCCCATTTGTCAATTTGGCTTTGATTGTGTTTCTGGGGTCTTTTCCAAGATGTGTTTGCCTATGCTAATGTCTTGCAAGTTTTCCCAATGTTTTCTAATAATTTGATGGTATTGGGTCATAGATTTAGATCTTTTTTCCATTTTGAGAGGATTTTTGTGTAAGGTGTGAGGTAGGAGTCTTGTTTCATACTTCATAAAACATGGAGATCCAGTTTTCCCAGCACCATTTGTTGAGGACTGTAAGTTTGTGGAAAATGGAATTAAAATGTGTTTATTTGAATCCAAAAGAAGTTTGAAATCCACGCATATGAGGCATTTTCATAAGGTTCATAAGAAATGCATATTATCAAAAATTTGCTGGATTTCAAAAAATTTTGTACCAAAATGAACTTACCTTTTAAATCCAATTTCCCACATACATTCTGAATTATCCTCATTCATCTATCAGTTAGGAATCTATAGAAACTTTAGATTTATATGTAATTTGATAACTTCTGGTTAACTAACTGGGTTCTGGGGAATGTTTGTTGCAATAAGACGTGAGAATACACAGTTCACATTTCCCAGGGGAACCTTTTAAGTATTTTTGGGGAAAAGAAAACCAATGAAAAAAATGTTATTCTCAAGTGAATCTGAAGTATGGTGAATTAAAATTATGCATGTTTCTTTACTATAAAATGTCTCATAGCCTTCAACATGAAGAATCTTCATAAATTCATGAGAAATGAATATTATGAGAGATATGTATGTGAATTTTGTATTTCATAAATGTATTAATCCCATTCCAAATGAGTTTTTTGAAGCACCCTTGTATTCTAATGTGCGAATCTCAGAGGGTGCTGTCCAAGTATATTCATCGTGTTCCGGATTTTCTTTGGGAGCCTCTTGAAGCTGTCTGACTCCAAGCAGTTCTCTTTGGAAAAGGCTGTTCTAGATTTCAGGAGGATGCCTGTCCCTAAGTCACAGTCATGCTGTACGATGGTTCATACTTCCTATACTTCTGAAATTGTTTGGCTAAGTTTCATTTCTGGCATTTAACTTTGGATGCTTAGTTCACTATGAAATATAATTTAAATTTTTAGCAAAAGCACTTAAACTAACTTCTGATTTTGTGTTATTTTATTAAACTTATGATTTTTCAGATCAAGATTTCATCCTTTATTAAATCTACTTTTAAGCATATTATGCAATCTTTGACCAATGTCTTACAAGAGGATTTTATATTTTTTCCTCTTGGTTGAAAGAACATTCTTAAACTGAATAGCAACACTTCTGTGCTAAATATCATTTTGAAAACTTGTGTTCTTTATTGACATATTTCTACTGTATCCTTTTTATTCAATTGAGCATTTCAAATTTGGGGATAAAAGCCTTTTGAAACAACATTTGTGTCTCAGATATTTAAATTCACACAATTTTCAATGTAAAGTTCTAAATGACTACTTTTAAAAGAACAGATGGTATTTCCACAAATAATTCACTTCTATTTCCTTCTCTTTGAATTTGTTTCTGTTATTTTACTGGAAAGGATCAGATCTTCTTTATTGGCAATTTCTTGAGTTTCCGAAGGTAAGTCATGAAAAAGCTTAACAATAGGTGTCCATGGGATAACAATACAAATATCACCACAAAAACTCATGAAGAATATAAAAGACACTGAAGCTTTCAGGGTTGCACACTGGGATAATTCCATTCAAACTCATCTTAGAAATACATTGCTGTGTAGGCACAATAGGAGAGTAATGGATGTTTATAATGAATTTTGATTACAGCCTCTGCAGAGGTAGGTTGTGATGCTGTCTGGGAGAAGGACCTCAACTCACACATTTGCTACCAATTCAACCTGCTTTCCTCTCTCTCCTGGAGTGAGGCGCATTCTTCATGCCAGATGCACGGAGGTGCTTTACTAAGTATTGTGGATGAAGCTGAAGAAAATTTCATACGGAGTAAGTAGGTAGATGGTGCATAATAATATTGATGTAATAAAATGTTAAAAATTATATCAGTGTATGAAAAATATATTGTGGAAAAAAAAGTTCCTTATAAAATATTTTTCTTTTTTAACATGACTCAAATTCTACCTAGAATTTTCACATGACCCATAGACCATTCTATTTGACACCCATTCACGTCATCCTTGATGTTTCCGTCTTATAGAAGAGAATCTGAGGCCACAAAAAAGCACCCCATGAGAGCTGCAGCTCCAGTGGGTTGATCAGGGAGAGTCTAAGCTCAGGACTAATTCTTGCCCTTTGAGGGATCTTAGCTACACAACTTCCATTTATAAGCAGTTTGTGTACTTTATTAGTTAAACCTCATAACAGTTATCACTCACTTTGTGCAGGTCTGGGGGATGCCAAAGAACTCAAAATTCAGTGGGGGAAAGAAAAGAACATAATATGTTAACAGGATTTGCATAAGACATAGTATAAGATGTCAAAAGAATTGTGCTAGTACATTGGTACTTGCATTTCACCCATCACTAAACTGCCTTCTTCTCCTTTATAGACTAAATGTGCTTTTTATATGGTATAGAAATGACTCTTTAAATGTTTTTGGTACATTAAAAATTGTCACAAAATTAGTCATTTTCATTAAAACTTTCTGACACTAATTTTTTCAATTTTTATTACACATGTAGTACATTTTAATTTTAGAATAATTTCTTAAATTCAGGTATACAGAGATAAAAATGAATAGAAATGTTCCATAAGTCTACAACAAAGAGATAACTATATTTTCTGAAAAAATATATAAAAACATATATGTACAATGTATAAAAAAGTAAGTATTGTATGAAAACATGAGGTGGCTGTTTCACAGTGGTTACGAGCAGGAGCTGGAAAGCCACCCATCCAGGTTTGATTCCCACCTCCACACCTACTATCCAGGGTTACCCTAGCAAATGTCTTAACCACTCAGTACTCCCAGTTTCCTCTTCTACTATGTGGAAATACTAACATGGCCTACTTCTTGGTGTGGGTTATGTTCCATAACTTACATGAAGTCTTAGGAAAGTTCCTGATACATGCCACACTCAGTATGTGCTAGCCATTTGACAGCAATTATGCATAGCTTGGTAAACTGCTTACTTCATTTTCCTGCCTATAATGAACATCTGACCCTGTCTGTAAATATAAATATGTATCATGATTATCATGATTTATAATAGCAACTGAGTAGCATACGTTGACAGTAATATGTCCATCTAATCTCTTTCCATTCAGGATAGATAGAATTATTGATTTTGCTTTGTTTATTTATTTTTTACTATTATAGAACATCCTTGCATATATCATTATGCGTGGATCCTAAATTATTTCTCTCTATATTTATAGAATTGGATTCACTAGGTGGAGGAAGGATACTCTAAAGCTTTAAAAGTTATTAAGAAGGATTGTAACCAGTGAGTGAATGGGAAATTATCATTGAAACCAATTTGACTGAGGCATACTGCAGGAAAAATACCAATTTTCAAAATCATTCTAATCCTGTAATCATTTTTATATAAAAATCTGCATACCATTTATAATTTCAGTTATCTACCTTACATGCCAGAATTTCTCACAAGAGAGTCTGGACTTCCTCATCAAACTTGAGTAATAATTTGGCTGGCGCCCCGGCTCACTTGGCTAATCCTCTGCCTGTGGCGCCGGCACCCCGGGTTCTAGTCCCAGTTGGGGAGCCGGATTCTGTCCCGGTTGCTCCTCTTCCAGGCCAGCTCTCTGCTGTGGCCCAGGAGTGCAGTGGAGGATGGCCCAAGTGCTTGGGCTCTGCACCCCATGGGAGACCAGGTGGAAGCACCTGGCTCCTGGCTCCGGATCTGTGCAACGCGCCAGCTGTAGCAGCCATTTGGGTGGTGAACCAACAGAAAATGAAGACCTTTCTCTCTGTCTCTCTCTCTCTCGCTGTCTAACTCTGCCTGTCAAAAAAAAAAAAAAAAAAGAAACTTGAGTAATAATTTTAAAGTAAGTTTGATTTAAATACCTGAATTCTATAATTAGCTTTTGGGGATTATTTAAGAAGACAACAGTTTTTTTTTTTTTTAATAAAGATAGAAACCTATTCTGACCAAGATATTTTTAATGATGAGAATAGCTTAACATTTACTGCTAATCACTGATGAACATTAGTTATGATACAAAGAACAATTAAGCTGTTGCAAGTACCAAGAAATAGTCAAAAGTAATTAGGTTTAAATTTGTTATTTCAGTATTTTGGGTTAATTTGGTTATAAAGAAAAATCAGTGTTTTATACATCTTTAAATACAGATTATAGATTGCACAATTATCTTTATGTGTTATGAAAACAATTGGATTTCAAAATAATTCTAAGATGACAATAATTAATATTTTAATTATGTTATTTAAAAATATCACTGGACAAATACCTGGATTTTAAATACAAAAATTTCTTGCTGTCCTGTCAATACATCTTTCATTTTACCTGTTGCCATCATAAATCCTGTTAGATGATTTAATCAAATGATATTAGGAAGAGACCCCATGGCTAATGCCACAGGAAGCTGGAACTTTGAGGCCCATGTGTGTTATGCTGTTACTGTTAAATCATTTCTGGGGTCTCAAAATTATAAAGCAACATATTCTGTTTCCTTAAAAGGGTTCAGTTCTTTCCATTCTCCGCTAATGTACTGAAATGCCCAACCACTGGGGATACTCCAGCCTTGTTATGTAAATCCATTGACCTCATAACCTGGGTAATCATACAATCTACCATCTATCCTTAGATTCTTTGACAGTAAAAGGCACGGCAACTGATGATTATTCTGGAACTATCATGGTAAACCATGGGTTCTTTCAGGCAAACGAGGTCATACATTCACCCTAATTTTTACTCTTATCTGTCAGGTTTTCAATCTCAGGGTAGGCCCCTGTATCTGGCTCAAAATAAATTGGGTTCTGAAACAAATGAACCATTAGAGAACAGTGCTCTCCTTTATAGATTAGATAGGTAAGTGGCAATATCTGAAAGTGTCATAAAATTTGCCATTTTTATAAAATGTTTCTGACACTTGTGTTTTTGTCCAAATTTTATTGCACAAGTCGTTCATGTTTTTTCTAGTATAATATTTTAAAATTCAGGTCCATTGAAAGAAAAGGCAAAGAAAAATTGCAAATAATTCTACAGTTTCCACAGTACAAACTTGTCAATGCAAGTGTTTCCTCCTAGCATCCATAACAAAATGTGTATTTTCATTTATTTTTATCAGGAAGGCAGAGACAAAGTTCTCCCATTTGTTAGCTTACTCCCAAATGTTCCCAACAGCTAGGGTCAAGAGCTCAGAATTCAATCTGGGTTACCCATGTGGGTAAGCACCCATGCAGCTACCTCCCAGGGTACATATTAGCAGGAAGCTGGAATCAAGAGCCAAGCTGACCCTCAGTTCCATGCAGTCTGATATGGACTGTGGGCACCCCATGCAATACCTAACCATCTGCTAAAAACTTGAGTTAAAATATGAGTGCTGGAGCAGTTGCCACAGAGCTAGCCTGCCATAAACCTCCCAGCCCAAGTGGTAAACAGCCTTGAGTTTGCCTCGCACTTGGCTTGCTGTGAGGGATCACTCTGGGCACTCTGGCCCCTTGGATTGGGCTCCCCTCTAGACCAGATGGCCCCTATGGTTGTCACACTGCACAGCCCCTTGGCTGCTCTGCCCCTGTAGGCTGTCCTCACCTTTGAAAACTTTTGCTATTCACTTTCTGAGAGTTCCTCTCCACCCTCCTGCACCCTCTAAAGCCCTCAAGTGTAGCCGGCGCCGTGGCTCACTAGGCTAATCCTCCGCCTAGCGGCGCTGGCACACCGGGTTCTAGTCCCGGTCGGGGCGCCGGATTCTGTCCCGGTTGCCCCTCTTCCAGGCCAGCTCTCTGCTGTGGCCAAGGAGTGCAGTGGAGGATGGCCCTGCACCCCATGGGAGACCAGGAAAAGCACCTGGCTCCTGGCTCCTGCCATCGGATCAGCGCGGTGCGCCGGCCGCAGCGCGCCAGCCGCGGCAGCCATTGGAGGGTGAACCAACGGCAAAGGAAGACCTTTCTCTCTGTCTCTCTCTCTCTCACTGTCCACTCTGCCTGTCAAAATAAATAAATAAATAAATAAATAAAAATAAAAAATAAAACCCTCAAGTGTATGAACTCACATAAATAAGCCGGTTTAAAATCTGTGGCATCCTTGGTCTAGGTTGCCAACCATTGTAAGACAACATTTCTGCATACTTGGACGAAGCACTTCACAACTAAACTGCAGTCAGGGGCCTTTAGGGGACTGCCTGTTCCTCCAAATGGTGAAGGCACCAGGGTGGGGTGCATAAGCCTCTTCCTGTTATCCACTGGGATTCTTTATGACTCTGCGCTCCAGGAATAGGAAATCAAAAGCATTGCATTTTTTTTTTTTTTTTTGAAACTTCATATGTCCATTTCAGAGCAGGTAAGCGGAGAAGCAGTGGAGGTGTGGACAGGTCTGAATCAGCTGGATGTGAATGCTGGCTGGCAGTGGTCTGATGGGACACCACTCAGCTATCTGAACTGGAGCCCAGGTACCTCAGTGCTTTATTGACCTTCCACATGCGGCATGGGAAATAGCCTTTCCGGTGTAGCCATGTTGTTATAAAAAGCGGTTTATAAACATTTGAAGCCTTGCTGCATTCCTGCAAGGCAAGCTTCCCCAGACCAGAAGATGGAGACCAAAAAGGTAAGTTACTTAGCCACGCTTGCAAGAAGGTTTGGGTCAGAGCCAAGACTGCAGTCTGCTCTCTTAAAAATAGCAACAAATTGCAAAATATTTCCCTACTATATAACAATAAAGTTAGCTCTTTTACAGCCTTTGGGAAATCACTTAATTGCCATGCCTGGACTTGACCTGTGAAATCATAGATGTTAACAGTTCACTCTTCCTGTGGAAGGGAGAGTCCTCAATGCTCAAATCACCTTTCACATATATTAAACTCTCATTAACACACATGGTGTATTTTCAGAGATAAGTTTTGAACCGTTTGTTGAATATCATTGTGGAACCTTCAATTCATTTATGCCAAGGGCCTGGAGGAGTAGAAATTGTGAGTCCACCTTGCCTTATATTTGTAAAAAATACCTAAACCACGTCGATGATGAAATAGTTGGTAAGTGTTATTATTTTAAGTGACTCTCATATGTTGTTAGTCTTTTCAATAGACAAAAATTCCTTCACTTTTTATCTTAAAGAATCATACTTAAAACCTAACTAAGTCTTGTTTGTATTTTTATGAATAAAAATGGATAACTATAAAAATCACTATTGTAAAGCCTCTATGAATCAAACATGCCTATAGGTTTTTACTAAAAACTAAAATAAAACTACCTGTGCATAGAAAATAATTTTTTCTTTTTTAAAAATATTGCATTTCAGTCATTCTGTTTTAGAAAAACAACTATGCTCCCTTTTCTATTCTAGTTCTGAATTTTAGAGTTACCCTAGAAAGTAAGCATAAATTAGAGAACAATTTTATGAAGTTCCTTACTTCATTGGCTTTCATTGTTTATTATCTTTTTAAGCTGACACGTAATTACAGACATTAGGCATACACCATGAAGTTTGGATCCAGATATACCTTGTGTAATGATCAAGGAAGGCATGGTGATCAGCTTTGTGGTCAGAACAAAGTCCTCTCTTCCAGCTACCTAATCACCCCCGCTGCACAAGAGAACCTCAGAAATTTCCCTCCCAGGTGTCCATGTGTTCCATGCTTCATTGATTTTCTAGCACACCTGTATCTCTTATTCATAACACATCCTCCCTGATGAAATAATGTTCAAAACTTTTAGATGTCACGAAGGCTTACATCATACCTAATTATAATCTAGTGCCTGAAGTCCAATTATTTCTGTGTTTAAGGTCTACTACCCCTTTTAGTCTCTGAGGGAGTTAATGTCTTAACAGAAAGTAGAGATAAAAACATAGCCATCTTTTAAAGATTCATTACAAGAGTAATTAGAAACAACTCTAGATTTAAAATAACAAGCTAAATTAGCTATTTTGAATATTGTCCTTAACAAGTGGATCTTAACTTTTGTCTGCTTTTAAGAAGCCATGCTTAGGAGTGTCATTGAATATGGGGTAGAGATTTTTTCCATCATTGTGAGGATTCGCTGGAATTGCTACTGGCTGTTATTGACCACATCCTTCTATTTTTGCCTTCTTTCCACCCTCCTTTCTCCATTTGTTCCTTCTTTTTGTGTTGTTATTGTTGTTACTTTACTCTCTCGCATGCCTTCCTGCCACCTTTCTTTTATCCTGTTTTATTTATTCCTCTGACCAACTAATTGAAGTCAAAAGACCAGAACTGGGGGTTGTAGCCCTCAGCCTGTTTGGATTCTTTGTTGTTGCTTCAGCAAATTCTTTTGAAGATTGAGGCCAGTGCCTTCACACTGTGCTTCCAGGATCTCAAATTCCTTGCTTGTCCTGTCCTTGCTGAGGTCAGACCAATTTCTCTATCTCTGCATCTCACCTTTAGAGACTGAAAATTTCACCTTTAAAGAGTTCTATCGCTGATTTTTGTTAGATCGCAAAGTACAGGGGCAGATGATAACTCAATGTTCTCACAGTCTTTGACTATGAATCTAGTTGCTGTCAGAGTCCCAGAAGCAACTTTAAAAGGAATGTTTTGTTTTCCAAATAGCAGTGAAATCTTATCTAACTGAATTAGTTCTTAAGAGAGGCACTTAGCTGTGATTAATAAAATAAGATTTTTAATTGCTATTAACAATTTGGGAACAAGCTCTTGGATAAAGAATGCCAAACACTGGCATGCACACCACCCTTTGCCCTTCCAATGCCCAAAGCACCATGGCTACAAGTTCCTGTAAGGGCAGCTCAGGGTCACATCAACCGAGGGTGATACCACAGGCAAGCAAACTGACCTTCAACATGAAACCTATTTGTCAGCCCTGCTCTGGAGGAAGTGCAGGCTCTCATCAGCTGACGATGAATATCTGCCCATCCACACACTGTGTGTCAAGTCCTTGCAATATGACTTAAGTTGTGTTCCAAAATGCTGCTCCTTCTGCCATGTGAAAAAACTTTATAAATAGAAAACTATTCAATTTTGGATCTGGTCCTAACTTTCCATGTTCATTGTATGACTTTTGCCACATCCTCTACCCCTTCTTGCCTTAGATTTTTTCATCTGGAAACAAAGTGCTGAGATCCATTAGACGCTAGATCTAGAGCTAAATCATACATTAGACCTTTCTGAGTGCAGAATTTCTAGAATTCCATGATTCATTTCAGAGCTTTCTATTTTTCATATTCTAAAGTAATCATGTTGATGATAATTTATATAAAGGCTATTAAGTAATGTTAAAATAATTGTGGAAAATGACATTGTCTTTTGTTGATTTGAAAAGAAAAAGATGCTTGGAAATACTACGCCACTGACTGTGAGCCTGGCTGGGCTCCCTACCATCGTAACTGCTACAAACTTCAGAAAGAAGAAAAGACCTGGAACGAGGCTTTGCATTCCTGCCTATCCAGTAACAGCACATTAATAGACATAGGCTCATTAGCAGAGGTGGAGTTTCTTGTCACTCTCCTTGGAAATGGTGAGTGCCAACTTTGGCTTTGAGTTAAAAAATATGAAATAGACTACAGTAGCTATTTTTATTAGTAGAGTTAAAAATGTTTAAACTATTTAAAAGTATTAATAAATGGTTCATAGGTTTGAAGTTGCTAAATAATATACAAGAGTACATATTCATTAAATTTTTACAAAATGTGTGTTCAGAAACTTTGTAATGTTTTCACACATGCCAGATATTTTAAATTTGTTGTTAAAAAGCAGAAGTCATTTTCTGAAATTATAATTATAATAATAGTATTAATTAAAAAAAAAACCCTAAACCTGTAATTTAGCATTATGTCCACTAGATAGCAGTAATTGTGTGGAAGTGATATAATATAAGTAATAAAGGGCATTCCTCAGCAAATGACCCAATTTAAATAACTTTGATTAGTAACCAGTGGATCATCTATTTGGGGCAGTGTCCTCAGGCTGTGCCACGTGCAGAAGTTCTGGGCTGCTGCGCCTCCACCAGATTTAGTCCATCAGAGCAGGTCTGCTTCTCCTCAGATGCACGTTTGAAATGGAAGTCTGCTGAAAATCACTGAAACCACTAGCTACATATTTTAATTTTTAAAAACAAAAGAAAACTCCCCAGACTCCATTTTGATGACATTTGCAATGTTAGAGTTTAGTCTGGAGGGGAGACACAAACCCTGCTGTGTCATTTTTCCCCAACCCTTTGCTTTGGGATTAAGATGATCCTGAGTCTCCCTCTAGCTCAGTAAGAGCATCTGAACATCTCTTCCGGACACCCCGGGTCTTCTCATCCTACCGTGGCTGTCAACCTTGAGTTTCCTTTCCAGAAACCCCATTGCTTCCTATTTCAATGGCAACAAAATGGGGAAAAAATAGAAAAGGGCTAGTAAAAACATGTATTGTAAATATGAGACTACTAGGGTCAGCACTGTGGCATAGTGGGTAAAGCCACTGCATACAGTGCTGGCATCCCATACTGGCTCTGGTTCAAGTCCCAGCTGCCCCACTTCCAATACAGCTCCATGCTAATGCACCTGGAAAAGCAGTGGAAGATGGCCCAAGTGCTTGGGCCCTTGCACCCACATGGGGCTACCCAGAGGAAGCTCCTGGCTCCTGGCCATTTGGAGAATGAACCATCAGATGGAATATCTCTCTCTCTCTCTCTCTCTCTCTCTCTCTCTCTCTGTCTCTCCATTCTCTCTCTAACTCTGCCTTTCAAATAAATAAATCTTTTTAAAAAAGCTAGACTACCATTAAATGATTTTTTAACATGCCCTTTTCATAATATAGTGGAACTTCCCATTTTCCCTTTCTCTAGACAGAAGCAAAACCAGACATTTCAGGTCAACTTTATCTACAATAGCAGGAACCAGAGTCCCAGGAATCTGATTTGCTTAAGTATTGCCCTTGCATTGGCTTTAGCTCACATTCTGCCTCACTTATAATGCTTTCATCAAGCCAAACAGGATGTTATGGGAGGGAAAAAGATTTAGTTGGTATCATATACCAAGACTTAACCAGATTTCATCACATGAAGAAGTAAAGAAGTTACATGCAAAGGGGTATATTTTGGTAATAAGCCTAGTACATTATCTCCTTTGCAAATGTTAAGATCTTGCAAATAATTTACATTTATCTCTTACAGAGAATGCATCAGAAACATGGATTGGTTTGAGCAGCAACACATTTCCAGTCTCCTTTGAATGGTCTAATGGCTCCTCAGTCATCTTTACTAACTGGCACACACTTGAGCCCCAGATTTTTCCAAACAGAAGCCAGCTGTGTGTCTCTGCTGAGCAATCCGTAAGCTGATTCATTTGTTCAGTGCTCATTTTGTTGGACTCATACTGAGGGTCACTTGTGCCAAGGACTTGGGTTATGGCAGAGACTAAGACAGGCACAGTTCCTGCTTCTCATGTGGCTTTCATGCTAGGCAGCAAACAAGCACACAGAAAAACATGGTAGCTATTGTTGTGATGATTGCTCCAACAAAGCTGGTGCCAATTTGGTGAGAATCTTGGTTGTGGACAAATACTTCAGAGAGATGGTCACTTCTGAAGAAGTGACATTTAAGCTGGGGATTAAACAAACAAACAAACAAAATCTTTTGAAGAACAGGGGAAGAAAATCCAGGCAGAGGGCAGCAAGTGTAAAGGCCCAGAGGCAGGCCCAGACTTGCTGTATTTAATAGAGACCAGCAGTGAGGAGGTGGTAGGGGATGGGGCAGGAGAAATTCGTAAGTGCTGGGCTTATAGACCATGGAGTAGCAGCCACTAATATGCTTCAGGGAGCCAGAGGGCATGATCTGAGGGCATGAGCTGACTTACATTTCAAAAAGCAAAGGGGTGCTGCCTAGAGAATGCATTAGAGAAGGATAAAGTAGAAGCAGAAAAACTAGTTTGAAAGCTTCTCCAGGGTGGTATCTTCGAAGAGAAATGGACAGATTCAAGGATGCTTTGGAAGACAGGACTAGTTCCTAAATTAGATGAGATATGTGAGAGAGGTAGATCGCTGACTTGAGCAACCATCACTTTGGTGGATGGGAGTGCCTAGACCATCATGGCAATGCTGAGGAAGAGAGCTGAGGGTGGAAGGTTACCCTGGGGGGTGATGATGTGTATGCTTACTATCTTATTAAAACCTAGGGTCTGAAAAAGCATGGGTAAGCTCTTTGAAAACTGTGCATCGGTGGCAAATTTTGCTCTCTTCTTCACACAAATGGAATGGTCCCAGTGGTCTTACCTTCAGACTTATTCCCATGTTCCCATCTTTCATTTATCTAAATTCTCAGATTTTACAAAATTAGTTTAATCCTAAACCATGAGGATAGATTATTATATGTTTAAAACATATTTAATCTCCTTGATTTGATAGCTGCTGATCATACCAGGTGGAAATTATTGGGATTTGATGGACATCTTCATTCTTTCTAATGACCACTATTTTTTTTTTTTTTTTGACAGGCAGAGTTAGACAGAGAGAGAGACAGAGAGACAGAGAGAAAGGTCTTACTTCTGTTGGTTCACCCCCCAAATGGCCGCTACGGCCTGCGCGCTGCACCAATCCGAAGCTAGGAGCCAAGTGTTTGCTCTTGGTCTCCCATGCAGGTGCAGGGCCCAAGCACTTGGGCCATCCTCCACTGCACTCCCGGGCCACAGCAGAGAGCTGAACTGGAAGAGGAGCAACCAGAACAGAACCCGGCACCCCAACAGGGACTAGAACCCGGGGTACCAGCACCGCAGGCGAAGGATTAGCCAAGTGAGCCACAGCACTGGCCGAGGACCAGTATTCTTACAAAGTCAAGTTCCCCCAAGAAGAAGTTTATGAAATGTAACTAAAGTAGCTTGACAAAGTAATTGTGCCAAGCAAACATAGAAAATTCCTGAGCACTTAGGATAGTGATACATTTCATTGTTTTCTCTCTTCAGGCTTGTGTGGGCACACACAATCACACATGCGATTAGATGTCTCTGAGTCCCATCTGAGGACGGAGAAACAATGGCCTCCCTAGACATTTGTCCTGGGTTTGCTATGCAGTCCACCATAGTTCATTCTACAGTATTTGATGTTTTACTGATTTGTGGGTTAAATCCAGGTAAGGTAGTCCTCATCTCCTGTGGACAGACAGGGATATCTCACTTAGCATATTCACAGAACAGGAGCCAACATTTGGACAGAGATCACTTTAAACAGAGTGAAAACAGGTATTAATAATTTTGGATGGGTCAGGACATCATACTATAAGTACAACGTTTTGTGGTTCTTTTTTAAACTTTATTTATTTTATGTGAGGGGCAAAGAGACAGAGGCGAACGGACAGGGTTCCTATTTGCTTCCTTACTCCCCAGATGCCAGCCTGGGCGTAAGCCAGGAGACCGGAACTCAACTTATGTCCCCGCTGTGGTTGGAGAAAGCCCAATTACTCTAGCCATGACCTCTGCCTCCCAAGGTCTGCACTGGCAGGAAGTGGAAGTCGGGATGCAGAGCCTGGCATCAAACCCAGATACTCCAACGTGAGATGCAAACATCGTTACTGCTAGGCTAATTGCCTGCTCCACTGTGGCTCCTTTATTGGCGGCAAGGTGGCTCCTGAAGCAGTAGATGTGTACCAATTAGTATTCATCTCCATGAAGTGGAACTCAGTATGAATATAATTATTATAGTTAACAAGTTACCACATCATGGTGGACACCTAAATTTGAGCATGAGAGCCTGGAAAGGATTCGTTCTTCCCTCCATGGGACAGTTATTAAGCAGCCACAGTATGCCTGACACTATCTTGTAACTGGATAGTTTACTGGAAGACTCTATGGCAGGCGGATGTGGGTTTGTGAAGACAAGAGGTGTCATACCCACCTCCATGTAGTATGGTTCTGAATATCATGGCAGGGCTCCATATTTATCTCAAATCCTGGATGCCTCAAATACCACCTGAAATTCCACACCTAAATTAGGTGACTTTAGTCTAATGTTCTGATTTATGTTAAAATAAAAAATCCTTTTGGATAATAAAATTTTAGACTGTTGGCAGTTATTGCATTATTAATGAAGGTCTAAGAGTAGCCTTTGGCAGAACTAGGAAAAGATATGGAAGTGTCTGCCTACCATCGAAAGGGAACGTGCTCTGAAGAAGGACTTTGGGAGCTGAACATGACTGCCAGCTATGGGAGTGTTATCTAGGATGATGCATGGTAGCTTCCAGGATCAGGGTTATACAGGAAAGCAGTAAAGCGTTCAATTGAACACAAAGAAGTGGCTGAGGAGAGGAAGTAGTCTTCTCCCTTGGTTAGAGGGATGGCTTCATCCATGTGATTCTCCAAGTATGGCCTCTGGGCCTGCAGTATCAATGGAACCTGAAGACTTGTTAGAAATGCAAATTCTCGGCCAGCTCAATAGGCTAACCCTCTGCCTGCAGCGCCGGCACACCGGGTTCTAGTCCCGGTCGGGGCGCCGGATTCTGTTGCCCTTCGTCCAGGCCAGCTCTCTGCTGTGGCCAGGGAGTGCAGTGGAGGATGGCCCAAGTGCTTGGGCCCTGCACCCCATGGGAGACCAGGAGAAGCACCTGGCTCCTGGCTTTGGATCAGCGCGATGCACCGGCTGCAGAGCGCCGGCCGGACGCAGAGGCCATTGGAGGGTGAACCAACGGCAAAGGAAGACCTTTCTCTCTGTCTCTCTCTCTCACTGTCCACTCTGCCTGTCAGAAAAAAACACAAGAGAGAAAGAAAGAAAGAAAAAGAAATGCAAATTCTCACATCCCATCAAGGCTACTGAATAAGACACTGGTCACTGGCTTCTCAGCTACCCCTCTGTGTGATTCTAGTGCATGCTAAAGATGGAGAACCACTGCTTTATCCTGTCTCTGTAAAAGAAAATTTGAGAGCAGCTTCATAAAAAGCCAGCTTACCTTTGGTATCAATGCTTGCCCCTGTTTTTGCTGTCTATGGGAACTTGTGCAAAATATGAAACCCAACCTTCAGATGGGAATGATAATCCCTACCTCACAGGATCATTGAGATCACATGTGGAAAACACCCAGCATTATGCTTGGCATACAGCAGTCAAGAACGTCTGTGTCTCTGTTTCCTGTCCACCCAACTCTGGATTGCATGCCTCAAACCCATGACACACTTGGGATGACTTCCTCCCTGCTGGAAGAGTGTCAGCCCATCCCATGGCAAGGCAGGATCCTGACACATCACCCCACTGGGAATCCCTTGTCACTGGTCATGTTTGTGTTTAGAAGCAATGGGCTCAACCATCAGGGGTCAGTGTGGAGCACAGTCATTCAACTTGTGACATCTTTCTCCTTAGGAGGGACACTGGAAAGTTACAGATTGTGAAGAAACTCATTTTTACGTTTGTAAAAAGCCAGGCCATGTCCTTTCTGATGCTGAATCGGGATGTCAAGAGGTAAGTGTTGTTAATATTGGAAGACCCTGCAATTTAGGTTCAGAGACTACATAACTAGAATAACACTTGTATATCTGTCAGTAATTTAAAGTAAATGTCCCTCTCTTGTCTTCTCTCTCTCACTCTCACTCTTTCTCTCCCCTCTCTCTTGCAGCACCCTCTCTCTGCACCTGTTCCTTTCTTCCCTCCCTCCCTTACTCCCTCCCTCCCTTCCTTCCTTTGTTTCCCCTCTCTTGCTTCTTCCTCCCTCTGTTTCCCCTCCCTTCCTTCCAGCCCTCCTCTTTTTGTACTGAATGTGGACTACTCTTGACAAACCCAACAGTTATCAGCCACAAACACCTGAATAATGTACAGCCTCAAGAAGGATCATTGTCTTCTTGTCCTCTTGGACCCGAGACTACAATTTTTGATTAGATAAAGAGATCCTGTACGCCATCTGCACAGACACCTGTTGTCACATGATGCCCTGTCTCTTATGTGGTTTGCATCATTCTCAAGTGGGATGTCAGAGAGAGAACGAATGCACTCCCTGGAGTCAGGCAGTGAGCCTCTGCACCCAGCATCTTGCCTGCCGTTCACCTTTCTTAAAATGAAATATTTGAGTAGAATACAATAATGGTGAGAAGTGTATGCTTGTAACATATTTATTATTTTGGAAAGATAGTTAAAATGCATTATTTTCTCTTCAAGTACGATTGTTTATGCTCTAGCTAGATAGTGATCCATCTCACCTCTCTTATCTCTGTTCATTAATCAAGTTGTAAACCCATGAGCTGCTCTTCACACTCAAGCTGGAAAATACAAGTGCCATAGCTGACATGTTCCTAAACATTTGATCAAATGATTACAGGTCCTGAATTAGTTATATAATTCTCTACCTGATCAAAAATACTAGGAGGGGCATGAAATTTGTCTTATTGTGGCTTTCAAGGCAACTTAACATGGAACATGGTTGACTTTTGCTGAAAGAATTAACTTCTTACACAACAGAAAGGGAACGAATGCTCTGTTCAGACTTTGGTCTGCTGCCTCCCTGTTCTGGCCAGCATTACCAGTGTTTAATGGTAATGGATTCTAAGTTCAAAGCCAGTTCTCTAGCTTTATAGGAAAATTCTCATTAATTTTATTGTACATGAGTCAATGAACAAGGTCTCCAAAGTTTTCTTTCTTTTAGCCACTTGTGCAATACCAGTCGATTATTTGAAGGCAAAAAAAAAAAAGTGATTTCTTTTTCCCACTGAGTCACATCTTTTGTGAGCAATTCCTTCAGTACTGTTATCATTACCCTTTCACTGAAAAACAAAGTGGCACCTAGTGTACAAAGGGTTAGCCAATATGATCAATTATTCTTGCCAGTTTGATTGTGTGAACATGGCTTTATAATAAAGTCTTTGTTTTTCTAAGCTACTAATGAAGGAAGAACATCTTAAAGGTCACAGTGTCAGCCCCTCTCTCTGCCTGTTCTTACAAGCACAAAGCAATCTAATCTTCCTATCCTTGTCCCAGGGTGAGGCAAGGAGGGTCACTGTCGGGGGTTCCTGTTACTTGCATGGAGTGGATGGGGAATGAAGTAATGGCAAGTGATCCTGGGTAGCTGCATAAGGGAGCTCTTGTGAGCTATATCTCATTTAGTGATACAATTTAAACTACACTAGCTGATTTCTAGATTAAGGTTTTCTTTAATTGACTATGAGACTGAGACCTTTTCCAAGAAATATACTAGAAATCACTTTACCAGAACAAAAGCTAGCAAGTATTGATTGACCTGGCAGTGAATGAAGACCATTTGAAAGCCAGTGCGTGAGTAAAAATGGATAGATAGAAGTGATGTGGTTCTGTGAAAGTGTAAGAAAAAGAATGAAAACCACTCAGTTGAAATACAAAAGACTGAGGAGTGCATGTCTCTCATACTGTGTGGTTTGAGAGAATAGAGCCACCTTTCTTTCTGTCCAGAGTTGAGCCACAGAGTTATACGTTTCTCATTTTAATCTGAGTGCTAAAGTTTGCTTTCTTTTTTTTCCTCTCTAAAAAGGCAGGCAGTTCATTTAGAAATACTCTTCCAGAGAGAGTATTTGACACAGTGGTTAAACCACTACTTGGAATGCCCACATCCCATGTCAGAGTGCCTGGGTTCAAGTCCCAACTCAATTCCTGATTCCAGTGTCCTGTTAATGTGCACCTTGGGAGTCAGCAGATGATGGCTCAGGTGCCTGGGTCCTGCCACTCACATGGGAGGCCCACACAGACTTTCTGGCTCCTGGCTTCAGCCTGGCCCAGCCCTAGCTTTAGCAGGCATTTAAGGAGTCAATCGGCAGATGGTTCTCTCTCTCTCTCTCTCTGTCTCTCTCTCTCTAAGCCTTTCATATAAATTTTAAAAATCGATTTTAAAAATTAGAAATAATCTTTGCCATCTATATCTGTATCTATATATAACTTTATCTATTGGCTGTTCTCTATTTGGAAGACCATCCTGGTTTATAACAGACTTGTGTTCCAAACCCAGTTGATTCACTATTTGATTATTTTATCTAAGTCCCTAACCCTAAGGAATTCCAGTGGGATGACATAAAAGAATCAATAAGAAAGAAAGTTGAGAAAGTATATAACATTGTTTAGATCTCCAAGTCCTCTTGATCAGACTCGGTCCATAGCTCTATTTTAAAATCTCCACTGCATTCTGTCCCTTTGTTTCTCATAGCAGCCTGTGGATACTATTATTGTCCTCATTTGACAGAAAAGAAAAAAAGCCTGCAAAGATTAAGTAAGGTCACGTGGTGCTGCAACCAGGTTTCAGACCCCTTCTTTTTGACTCCAGGGCCAGCATTCTTAACTTCTACCCTCCTGCAGGTGCGATTTGTATGAAATTCTGACAGTCTGGGGAGAGAGAGACTGATTTTAAGTGAGTCCCCTTTGTTTTCATTTGATTTGAAGGTTCAAAGTTAATTAAAATTTCTAGGTTTCAAAATAATTGACGAAGGGCATTATCAGGTTGAATAAATATAAAGATATGAGGACAAAAGTTTGAAGAGTTTTGAGTGATTCGGAGGAGAAAGCTATGTAAGTGGTAAATGTGAATGTTCAAAATAAGTCCTTTGGTATTTAACTAGATTACACTGTGACTTTAATTTCCCTTTTCCTTTTTTCAAGGGGTGGGAGAGACATGGTGGATTCTGTTACAAAATTGACACGGTCCTTCGAAGCTTTGACCACGCTTCCAGTGGCTACTACTGTCCTCCCGCACTCGTGACCATTGCAGACAGGTGCATAAAAGTCTCTAATGGAAATGTTAGTGTGCGTTGATATGAGAACTCTTACAATGATGAAATCTGACTATAATTAGAACTTGTCAAAACCTAAAGCATGCTGTACATTAGAGTATTAAATTATTTAAAGTAGTTGTCCAGATTATCTTAAGCCATTCTATGTTATTCCTAAAATTTATTTTTGAGTGACAAATAGTAAAATTTAAGGTATATTTTACTTTGCATAAGAATTGAATTATCTAGCTTGGTCGAAATATTCAATCATGTTGAGATTTTTATCTTCTAACTACTTGTATATTTGTAGTACTTGTAATGAAAGTATGTTTTTTAATAATTCAGTATTATTCTTTAATGTGTTCAAGCTCTGTAGGGGTATTTTTAGCAGAAAAGGAAGTATAACTAAGATGTTGAGGGTGTTCAAAGGCTTCACCACGGCCTCTTAAGTCTAATTTGTTTAGATTTAGACTTCTCCAGACACTGGTATCTTCCTGAAGGTGGCAGAGAGCCTGTGTGCATCTCCCAATCCTTACAATTTACAAAACGCCACAGAAGTGTAATAGGGGATAAAGGTGACCTTGTGTCACTACCAAGACCGCAAAGAGAGTGAGGTGGGGAGACTGACTTTTCTATGCTGAAGACTGAAGAGAACGAAACTCTTCAGCAGCCCCACAAGAAACTATACTTGCAAAGCAAGTCACTTTTTTGCCTAGGTCATTGCCTTTGCAAATGTCTACTGATGGCGGGGGTTGTGGTACAAAGGGTTGAGCCACCTCCCAGGACTCCCACTTCCCATATCAGAGTTCTGGTTCAAGTTCTGCTGGTGTGATTCTTTTTTTTTTTTTTTTAAAGATTTATTATTTATTTGAAAGACAGAGTTACAGAGAGAGGTAGAGACAGAGAGAGAGGTCCTCCACCCACTGGTTCACTCCCCAGATGGCCACAATGGCCGGAGCTGCGCAGATCCAAAGCCAGGAGCCAGGAGCCTCCCCTGGGTCTCCCATGCAGGTGCAGGGACCCAAGGACTTGGGCCATCTTCTACTGCTTTCCCAGGCCACAGCAGAGAGCTGGATCAGAAGAGGAGCAGCCAGGACGTGAACCGACACCCATATGAGATGCCAGCACTTCAGGCCAGGGCTTTACCCTGCTACACCACTGCACCGGCCCCCTGTGTGATTCTACAGAGCTTCAACAAATGTGCCTGAAAATGCAGCAGATGATGGTCCAAGTATATGGGTCCTTGCCCTACTTCTGGCTCCTGGCTTCAGCCTGCCTACTAATAGTTGTTTCAAGCATTTGGGATTTGGGGAGTGAACCAGTAGGTGAAAGATCTCTCTCCCCCTCTTCAAATAAATAAATAAATAAATTTTCCAAATGTCTACTGAATACCAGGAAATAGGACAAACGGTGCTATGGTTTCTGTTTAGAGACTTTTCACACCTAAGTCTAATTGGTAAAAGAATATGTGTCCTTTGTTCTCTCCACAAAAGTGACCAGTATTTTCTTTCTCCTGTTATCTTTTATTTTCCTACTTTCCATCCCAGCCTTTACTCAAAAACAAAACAAAACAAAAAGAACAGGATGTATACACACACACACACACACACAGAAGAATGGATGGATAGCATTTGACAGACTAAATTGCCCCTTTCAGAGAATAGCAGTACCATTTTTTAAAATGTTTATTTATTTGAGAGAGAGAGAGAGAGATCCCATCTGCTGCTGGAATGGCCAGCACCGAAGCCGAGAGTCAGGATCTTGGTACAGGTCTCCCATGTGGATGGCAAGGATCTGACTTCTTGAGCCATCACCCACTGCTTCCCAGGATCTATATTAGGAAGCTAGAGTCAGGAGTTAGAGCTAGGAATTGAGCCCAGGCACCCCAATCGGGGCGCAAGCATCCTAACTGCTAGTCCAAACAGCCCAACACTGCCTTCGGTATATTTCAGTGTTGTCTTGAGTGTTTCCCTTCACCTTCCCAGGTCTAGTTACCAGGCTGAAAGAAACCTTTAACGCCTTCACTTGGCTACCTACCCAAAGGGTTCCATGAGGATATTGGGGTCAAGGGTCTGCCAGTCAGGGAGTCAACATTGGATAGTACAGGGACCTGATTAGTCAAACTCTTTTATTAATTATAACTTAAATACATTTTCCCACTGAAGTAAATAATCCTTTCACCTATTTTTTATGTCATTCTTTTTTAAATATATATTCTTTGGGCACCTATTACACAGATGACACTGTTAATTGCTTTTCATATGTCATCTGACCATGCAAAAATTAATAGTTAAGAGTTTATTAGAAAATTATTTATTGAATGTCTATTTTGAGAGCCACCATATTAAACACTGGCATGCCCTAGTTAAAAAGGCAAAGGCATGATGTAATTGTCCAGCATCTTTTGCAGCATGGTAGTCAAAGACAAAGGAAACAAGTAAAGAGGATATGATGCAAGCAATGAACATATTAATTTCTAATCCAGATTCTTGTCTCCCACAGATATAAAAACACTAAGTGGAGACTAGCACAGTGTGCAAATAGGATCACAATTTATTTAACAGAAGGGGAATCAACACACATTCATGTGTGTGTGGGGGCCACCCTACACAGAAATATTCAACATGAGTGGACCAAAGAGTTTCCTATAAATGAGAGAGAAAGAAAAAAAAATGAAACAGTATCTGTAAGTGAGATTGGGTGAGTAGGATAAGATTTCCCAGACCAGTACACAGCAGAAAGAGAGAAAACAAGAGTGGTATGTCTGAGTGCATTCTGTATTGGAAAAATAATTCTCTCCTGCCTTCTACCTCCTTTTATGAGGAATAAGGTAGCACCCCAATTAGATAAACAACTGGAGTGGGATTGAAGCATGTGCCATGATCCCAGATGTGACAGGAGCATCCTGGGATGGTGGGTGTATAAAGCCCACCATCAAGGAAATAAGGTTACCCTACAGGGCTACAAGAGTTCCAGCTCACCTAGACTTGAACTCACTGTCTACTTGCACCTATCAGACAGACTAGCACAGTAAATGGCTAAACACAAAGTAACATTATAAGATAGCCCATGGTGCTAAAGTGGCCCAAGCAAAGACAAGAAATCTGTTAAGAGTTTGAATGCTTGTTGCTCTACAAACCCTTTAGGGACATCCTACAAATGACAGAAAGTGTGGGGAAAAATCCATTTCATTTCCCCCAAAACTTGATATAAGATTATACTGTGAATAGAGCTGACTTTGAACAGCATGAGTTTGAACTGCACAGGCCCACTTACATGTGAATTTTTGGTTTGGTAAATCTGTGGCAACTTGAAAAAACCTCACAATCCACATGATCTAGAAATATTGAAAAAAATAAGTGAAACGTGTCATGAACATAAAAGCTATATATAGATAACACCCTATGTTATCATTTACTATCATAAATATATAAATCTATTATAAAAGGTTAAAATTGATCAGAACTTACACACATACACACACACCATACATAGTATAATTTATAGTTGAGAAAAATGTTAACAAACACATGTAGTGGTAAATCATAATTTCATAAAATTAACCTTACCACATAGTGTACTACTGCCATAATTTCTTAGCCACCTCCATTGCTATTATTGGAAGTCAAAATTATGCACAGATGTTCCACGGCCCAGGGGCTCGCACCTCTACTTCTGTATTGTTCATGGGTCACCTGTAATTTATATTTGTTCTTTGATAAACTGGATTCAATAGGCAACACTCAAGTGTGAGCCAATTCTAAAGCAGAGTTATAGTGCAGGTAAGTTTACATTTACCCCAACCTCAGCCTCCTCAGTGGGCCCAGGTTGCCTTGTGGGGCAAGCTGCCAGGTCAAACCCAAGCCCCGGCAGGACTCAGCATGATCAGCGACATGTCCCCTCTCCTTGTCAGTTGACAGACGAATGTGAGGAAAAGTGGATTTTAAAAAGGAAATTTATTTTGGTGAAAAACATTTTTTTAAATCCATGCATACTTTTTTTAAATAACACATATTTTCCATGTACTTTTTGAAGCCTCCTCTTCTTCCCCACACAATATCTACATCCAAAATAGTGACTCCAACACAGGACTTGGAAGTAGGGGAAAGGAAGAGCCCTGCTCTGGGTGATGGGACAGCATCCTCCCACCACAGCAACTTTTGTCTAAGAAGGTTCAGAAGTAGGTGGAAGGACTCCTTAGATGCTGGAGTGTCCACCAGCAGCCTTGACAATCATTTTCTACCATTACCGATTTCCTGTTTAAGCTCAGACACTCCTGTCACTCTTCAGTACCCAAGCTTGTAGTTGCTAATTGATTTTCCACTCTTGTGCACAACTGAGTGACAGGTTTGATGGGCACAATTAGAACCACCTGCTACAGATTACTTATTTCTTTTGTTGTTGGGCAACTGCTCCTGGCCTAGGACTTTTAACACTTTGTAGATTAGAGAGGGTAAGAAAAACAGACCCTTCCTGCTAAATAACAGATATTTATTTGCGTACCAAATGTTACAAAACTATTTCAGGCCTAGCCTCTTAGTTTCCAGACAGAGCAGGAACACAAAACTTGAGTTTCTGAGTCATCATGGATAACTGTCTAACTGCCTGTATATCTTATTCTTGAATCAGTCAGCCATGGAATATTGAGCACCAAATAATATAAATAATATTTCATGTTGTACATTTTGCTAAAAGTGGTGAGAAATGTTAGGTTTAAATGTATGTCATTTTCCTTCAAGCATTGTACAGGTGTTCCATTTTCCTGCAACTGCCACATCCCTCAAAACATTTTTGCAGTTAATCTTTTTTATTACGGTAAAATATCTGCAACTTAAAATTTATCATTATAGTGTACAGTGACATTAAGTGATTTTACATTGTTGTGTACCTACCGCACATATAAACTAATTAACAGATAAATTGCAAAACAATAGCAGATTAACCGCAAAACAATAACAGCTTATTTCCTGCACTCCCTACCCCTTCATCCCCTAACAACTACC